GGTAAGAAACTGGACAGCAGTATTAATTTCTCTGAGGAACTCTGGCACTGGATTATGTTTTTAGAAAATTGTTATATTTCTTTGAAAGAAACATGATACACAGCTGTTCCAACAAGGTAAATACTTCATAAGCAGTATGTTAGATCAGGGCTCTTCTTGGGTCAATATCATTCTCAGTTACCAGTATAGAGAACCTGTATCAAAATAACAGTTCATTCAAAGAGATTCCTGCTCTGCATAAGCATCTCCTAGACTTTAAAGGAGCTGTCAGCCAACAGAGCTCTTCCAGTCTTCACCAAAACCTTCAGACACAAAACCAGCACCTCCCAGTGCAGAATTTTACTTTGATTCTGAGGCAGCAGTCTTGGAATTAAAGCTGCTGCTTTATTACAGTATACAAGATTTCACTCAAGGTAATCACATATAAAGCTGTCATGACTGGAATTATTCTCAGAAAGCATTTGGGAAAAGGTAATCCCATAGGGAGCTTAGCTTCATGCTGCTTCTGTAACAAATTTTACTCTCCACCAGAACACCTCCAATGATATGCTCGATCAAGCAAGTATACTTTTTCACTGATCACATGATCTTTGTCTGATCAAAATGCCTACCACACCACTGACCCCATATTGGTGATGCATATCATAGCTTACTTGACTTCTAACAAAGAGCATCTTCTCACTCATCTGTACATAAATTCACAAATCTATTGCTCATCAGGTTTCATACTGTAAAAGCCTCATTGAACACGGGGACAGATGTGCAGACCATTTTGACACATTGTTTCTCTACGAGTCTCAAACACATTTTTTTTCCAGTTACTCTCAAATGGTGTGCCTCATTTCTGAACTGGCCAAGAAAGTGTCCCATCAACATCTGTGTAATCATCACTATTACTCTTGGAATCTAAAAGCCCCTTTAAAATTTACTTGTTCCATAAATCCTAGATGACAGCAGTAGGACAAAGTAACTAACTAGCAAGATATATATGATAATCTTATATTCTTAAATATGCCATCACTACTGCCAAGCATTATTTCGACTCAGTAACAGAATCTCATGAAAAGTCAGCCATAGTGATACTAACTGGGACCAGTAAACTCTCAAAATACTTTCACAAGCCATATGAAAACTACCTGGAAGCAGGTGACCTGCCAGAAAACAAAGTTGTTCTTTGACAGTCAAGATGTAAACTAGGTTAACTGTCATTTTTTAGTATTTGGTGGTATCAGAAAACTGTTCTGCTGTCTGCTGGAGCTGCCTAGATGAAACAAGGCCATTTCACTTATTAAACTTTTACAGAAATTCTTCTGAAGAAACAAGAGAGACACATGGGAATTCAAGACTAGATATTGTACTTAGTTTGGCTTTCTTTACAGTAGTTGGTATGGTGTTATGTTTTGGATTTGTGACCAAAACAGTGTAGATAACATAGAGATATCTCAGCTATTGCTGAGCAGCACTGGCACATTGTCAAGGCTCATTCTGCTTCTCACACTGTCCCACCAGCAAGATAACTGGGGAGGCACAAGAAGCTGGGAGGGGACACAGCTGGGATAACTGACCCCAACTCACCAAAGAAGGATTCCATACAATATAATTGTGCTCACTAATAAAAGCTTTGGGGAAGAAAGAGGAAATGGACACACACACATTCGGAGTGATGGCATTTGTCTTCTCAAGTCACCATTATGTGTAATGGAGCCCTGTTTTCCTGGGGATGGCCGAACACCTTCCTGCCCATGGGAAGCAGTGAATGAATTCCTTATTTTGGTTTGCTTGTGTGGCTTTTGCTCTGCCTGTTAAATGTCTTTATCTGAACGCATTAGTTTTCTCACTTTTACACTACCAGCTCTCCCTGCCATCCCACTGTGGGAGGGTCAGCAAGTGGCTGTGTGGTGCCTCCTAGCCAAGGTTAAACCCCAGTGTTATAGATGAAACAGCTGCAGCTATCTTGAATCCTTGCAAACACTCTGAGTATCTAAATATTTTACTTTTTTACTGAATATCACTTTTTGTGATACTGTTTTCAGTTATAAACTTACTTTGTGTTAACCATTAAAAATGAAATTATCCATTCTCAGTTGCTGTTTCAGAACAATTTTTTTTGAATGAACACAAAAAACTGTGGGAGGAGATAGATTCCTTTTTCCCACATTAGAACACTTAAAAATTTTTAAGACTCTCTGACAAGTCTATGTTTATACAAGACTATACATTATGGCTGTCTATGTTTTAAAGATTTAAAGGATTTCAGGTCTTGCAGGGGCTGGTCACTTTAGTGTCAGGACTGAGGTTTTTTTTTTAGAGGTTATTCTGTCCCCCAGGGGTGATGCAAGAAACCAACAGTGTAACTGCTTTCACCAGCTAGCTGCTGTAGATCTCTCTACCAAGACACTGACAGCAGAGATACCAGCTACTTCTTGCTTCCAGTGGTCTAAGCAAATGCATTTGGGAAAAGCACGCTGCTAGAGGGAAGAATAAGGAAGAAACACACAAGTGGAAATATTAGGATGAAACAGAAAAGTGTGGCTTGGATAGAGGAGAAAAAAAAAAAGCTGTTGCATTATTTGCTTTGGTGTAATGAAACGCAGACTGAGATGGGAAATGAGATGGAGGAACTAGGGAAATGGGAGAGTGGGGGAAGGACAAACCTCTAAAGCCCCAGAAAACAGTGTCAGACTTTATCAGGAATAAAGAAGAAACATCCAAAAGCAGCTAGAAAGAATCCCAAGATATTTGACCCTCATCATTTGTTGTTGGTCAGTACTTGACAGAATTGTAAAAATCTCCTAACAAAACATGCACCACAGTTCCATCAAACTCTTCTATACAGAAGCTGCAGATTATCATCCTCTAGCCATTAGTCTAAACACACTCTGCAGTATATCCAAGAGCTCCAGCCTTGATCCTAATAACATTGACACTTTTATGATTTTTCACAACAGAATTTTCTACTTCCAACATTATTGCTTTTTACACTGTTAAACTCTATTAAGGTTGCAAGCTCAGCCCTTAAAATTAGGAATTAAAAAAGTTATTGTCACTACCATGAATACCATTAAATGCAATTTGAACAGTATTCACATCCTTTTTTCCATCTCTGGAGATGTTTCAGAAATCTGTAGTGAGAGAGTTGGTGCTCATCATAGGTCTAGAAGGCAATTATAAACGGATCACAGACAGAGCTCATGGTCAAACTACTCTTGGTAGTTCACCATCTAGATCTGTTTCAAACTATGGTCTTTCCCCACTGCCATACAAGCCTTTTGCAGCACGAGAGTCACTAATAAAAAAACCACAGGAACCCACTACCTCAGACCAAAAGTTTCACAGCTGTTTTCCACATAGGACCATGGTGTTTGTCTTTAAAACTGTGTTTGTCTTCAAAAAAATAGCCCATGTATACATAGAAAATACATTTTACATATTTTTTTAATTTTACATGAATTAAAATATAACCTTAATTCTAAATTTGCAACCTCAGTCCTTTTACAGTGATGTATCTGAAAATTCATAATTATACATCCGACTAAATGAACTGACTTTTCTAGGGTGCAGGAGCCATATTTCCCCTGAAAAAAAGACTGAGAATTAAGACTAGCCAAGTAAAACAGTGTTAAGTTCTGTCAAATCAAAACAGTATGAAAACCTGGAGGAGTTTGTCTTCAGTCCTCTATGCCACAGTAACACACTCAAGAAACAAGTACATGAATAATCAAAAACACCTGGCTCAACTTCCCTTCATAAAGGATGCTGCCGACAGAATCTGCATTTCAGCTAATGACACAGGGCAAAAGGGCTGATAACATTCATTCTTAAGACCAAGGCCTCTGCTGCAAAAATGCAGATCCTGCTCCCAAAGACAGTTTAAAATAAACTTGGTATACAGAAAGCAGGCCATTTGCACCACTGATTTCCAGTCTTAGCAGATCCCATACTGACAAACTGCCTAATCATAGCTCTCGACATTTTTAAATGAAAAAAACCCCACCCCTATCATTACCACATGTTACGCATGTCACGGTGTGGAGTATCTCCCTATGACTTCATTTTCCAGGTAAAGTCCAACTGTTTCTTGTCACCCCTGGTTACTCAACCTGTGTTTTCTCTGAACTAGTTCAGCTGAAGCGTTATTTGTCATAGTGTTGTCACTTTGTACGCAGCTCTGCGTAAACCTTTCGCTCTACAGGAAATTTTATACTAAATCGATAACTGTCCTAAGTATAAAGAAGCTGAACTCAGGTTTTGAGCTGCTCTACTTGCAAACCGGCACTCTCTATTAAAGAAAGGTTCGGACAGCACCAGAGACGAGGCGCAGCCAAGGCGCGTCAGTGCCCGCTACCCGCCGCGTTCCGCTGACATTTGCACCACTGATTTCCAGTCTTAGCAGATCCCATACTGACAAACTGCCTAATCATAGCTCTCGACATTTTTAAATGAAAAAAACCCCACCCCTATCATTACCACATGTTACGCATGTCACGGTGTGGAGTATCTCCCTATGACTTCATTTTCCAGGTAAAGTCCAACTGTTTCTTGTCACCCCTGGTTACTCAACCTGTGTTTTCTCTGAACTAGTTCAGCTGAAGCGTTATTTGTCATAGTGTTGTCACTCTGTACGCAGCTCTGCGTAAACCTTTCGCTCTACAGGAAATTTTATACTAAATCGATAACTGTCCTAAGTATAAAGAAGCTGAACTCAGGTTTTGAGCTGCTCTACTTGCAAACCGGCACTCTCTATTAAAGAAAGGTTCGGACAGCACCAGAGACGAGGCGCAGCCAAGGCGCGTCAGTGCCCGCTACCCGCCGTCGCGTCTGGCCGCTGACAGCCCGTTCTCCCGAGGGGTCACACAAGCTCCTCCCGGGGCCGCTGCTCGCCTCCTGGCCCCGGGCCGCGCCCACGCAGGGTCACCTCTGCGCCACGCCCGGGAAGCGCCCCCCGGCCGGCGCGCCCCGGCAGACACGGTCCGCTGCGAAAGGACGGCGCACACACCTACCGTCTCCTTGGCAGCGGCCGCCAACGGGATAGGGAGCAGCGCCCGGGCCCTGCCGGCTCGCCGGGAGGGCTCCCACCGCGCTCGAGACAGCCGGTACCACCGCGTACAGCGCGGCGAGAGCCGCCCCCGCTGCCGCCAAAGCCAAGCTCCCGCCGCACCAGCCGCGGCCCCGCCGGCCCGACCCCCGCCGCCGCCCACAGCCGCCGCGCCGGCCGGAGCGGCCGGGCGCGGGCCCAGGCGGCGGCGCCACCGCAGGAGGGAGCGCAGGGCGGCCATGGCCCCCTCCGCCCCAAGCGCCGGGCGCTTCCGAGCCCCGGTGCGCAGAAAGCCCTCGCAGAAAGCGGGGAAGGGGAGGGGAACCGAGCGGCCCCCGGCAGGCCCCGCCCGCCCAGCGCCAACCGGGGCGCCCGCGGTGCACCGGCGCCGTGGAATCCGGCTGCCCCGGCTCCAGGGATAGCAGCAGTCCGCGGCGGGGATGTGCGGTGCCACTGTGGCAGGCCGCCGCCAAGTTAGTGGAGATACGAGGTGGTCAGACCAAACACGAAGAACGGGCACGACCCTGGATCCGCCCAGTTCAAGCCAAAGTGCCTGGGAAAGGGGATGCGTGGGAACTGCCGCGACTGCGGGCAGAGCTGGCGTCTGTGCCGTGGGTCCCCGGTAACGTGCTCTAGAGCCTGACCGCGTGATTCCAGGGCCGTGCTCCCCAGGGAGTGTGCCGCACGACGCAGCAGATGTATCTTTGACATGTCGGCAGCCTCTCCTCTGATAAATACTCTTGGCGGCAGGTAGCCTCCTTAGCATAACCAAGCAGTAGATAAAGACCAGTGGTGAAAGATGAGCGTGGTCTTTTGTCCCTACCTGGTGCTGATGGGCGATACACTTCATCAGGCATTTCATATTAGGCCATTCTTCCATGGTGCAACCTGCATCACCACCTAGGTTTCCTTGAAACTTCATAAACTGCAAACAAACACTTCAAGACATAGCACACTGTATGACATTTTTTTGCAATGGCCAGGTAGAGCCTCAGTCTTTTTCTTTTGTACATAACTTTTTCCCCAAGTTTCAGCCTATTTTCCTTTTTTCCCCCCTAAATCTTTGATGGCTTTGTATATTATCATGAAAAAGATATTATTATCATGAAAATACACAAACCATAACTCACTTCAATAGCTTTAAGACACTCTCGTGCATTTTCATATTCTAAAAAACATTTCAGTGACACAGTGATACTGTATCAAGGGAAAAGTGTGGCCGTGTTTGTCAACAGACAGTCTGTCAGATCATGCAACTCTAAGCATGGCCATGGTTGAATTTCCTCAGAGCTACAGCTGGAAAGGCAGGTATCTGGGCTTAATGATAGGTTTACTGCATTTCTTTCAATATTTTAGAATACTGTAAGCAAATTCATCCCTCAAGTAATTATTCCCATCTGTCAAAAACTTTTTTTTAATTTTTTTATCTAAGCTTTATTTTACAGTATGTTGTATGTATGATTCCCAGTCAAAAGTCATCTCCAAATCTGAGTTATATCTGTGTACTAAATGACTAAAAGCCAATATGTAGGTGTCAAGGCAATAATAGTTTCAGATGCTTAATCGATACACTTCATCAGGCATTTCATATTAGGCCATTCTTCCATGGTGCAACCTGCATCACCACCTGGGTTTCCTTGAAACTTCATAAACTGCAAACAAACACTTCAAGACATAGCACACTGTATGACATTTTTTTGCAATGGCCAGGTAGAGCCTCAGTCTTTTTCTTTTGCACATAACTTTTTTCCCAAGTTTCAGCCTATTATCCTTTTTTCCCCCCTAAATCTTTGATGGCTTTGTATATTATCATGAAAAAGATTTTGGAAAATACACAAACCATAACTCATTTCAATAGCTTTAAGACACTCGTGCATTTTCATATTCTAAAAAAACATTTCAGTGACACAGTGATACTGTATCAAGGGAAAAGTGTGGCCGTGTTTGTCAACAGACAGTCTGTCAGATCATGCAACTCTAAGCATGGCCATGGTTGAATTTCCTCAGAGCTACAGCTGGAAAGGCAGCTATCTGGGCTTAATGATAGGTTTACTGCATTTCTTTCAATATTTTAGAATACTGTAAGCAAATTCATCCCTCAAGTAATTATTCCCATCTGTCAAAAACTTTTTTTAAATTTTTTTATCTAAGCTTTATTTTACAGTATGTTGTATGTATGATTCCCAGTCAAAAGTCATCTCCAAATCTGAGTTATATCTGTGTACTAAATGACTAAAAACCAATATGTAGGTGTCAAGGCAATAATAGTTTCAGATGCTTAATATGACTGAAACTCGAGTACTTTTCCTGCAGTTATATGACTTTATGTTATATTTCATGGTTTTTGTTCTGCCAAGTGTTTTCTTTCTCATGTATTCATGAACCCTCCCAGTATTTTATTATGTCATTAAAAATTTACAGCTGGCACAGCAGTGTTGTAAGGGAGTTCTAAAATTAATAAAGGTGCAATAAATTGCAGGACATACAGTTTTATACCAACCAGGATCTTTATAGATACATAGATATCTCTCTCTTTCTATCTATCTATCTATCTATCTATAGACTATCTGTGAAAGATTGCAATCCCTTGCTTTGTCCACTCCCTTTGTAGGCACCAGATTTTGCTTATGACAACATGCTATTCTTGGTAAATATACAGTAATTATATTGTCTTTAGAAGCCAGAACTACTTGCTGTGGAAATAAAAACTCAACCACATATGTATTTGTTCAATGACATTGAAAGTGCCGTCTCTAGGAAGTATATGTAGAATTGATTAGATTGTACTGTATACTTTAAGTTGAATTATGTACTCTTGTAAAAACTCTCTTCCAAATTATTTAACTTCCCATGGTAGAGTCTCAGAAGGTGCAAAAAAAAAATCTTTAGTGTTATCTTTTCCTGTCACATGACTAGTGCAAACACACACAAAAAATCTTATCTTTTTGTTTCTTTTCTGGTACTTTATAGAACAGCATAACCGGTTTAGTGCCCAGACATTAAAGACTCCACTCGGAAAAGATCGATGTTGTGTATTCCACTCTACTTTAAATGTTTCCATTATATAACAGGAAAGATTTAGCCATAAGGGTCTTTCAGTGTGTGATGGCTGAAGATTTTTTTTTTTTAAAAAAAAGCCATCCTTCTCTACTGGAGACAGTGGTGCCATCTGACCAGAAAACCCCTATACTATTTGTAGGACTCGAAGGTTCTTCTTGGACCCAGGAACAGTACCTGTACAGGAGCATCTTTAGGCTGAGAAGAATATACCTCCTCCATTCAGCTGTACCATCCTAGTGCATGTGCTGCAACTCAGCAGCTGTGATGAGCAGTTTCATCTTGACCTGCCAGTCATGTCAATAAAAATACTTGATGTGTGTTTCAAACGTTTTAGGTATATTTGAGTAATCAGTGTACAGGCTACTTGAGAAATAGGTGCCATATAGATTATTCAGCTTTGATCTATTTCTTTGATTTAGCACTACAATTAAGTAGATTTGCTTCAAAGAGAAAGCTCATTGGTTGATGTTTTACACTGATGTGATAATGTTTACACAGATGTGCTTTGAAATCTCGATTATGGTGGATTTTTGGGTCCCACCACATGACAGGCTCCTGTTATCTAAAAGGTAAAATAATATAACATCTATCTGTAACTGCCTTCAGAGCAGGTCTGCCTGTGCTCTCTTCTGAGGTGATTTATCTGATCATTGTATTTAGCATTAATTTTTTCAGTTTTAAATCCTTCCACAGTAAATCACTTTCTTTAAAGCAGCCTTTTTATAATTCAGGTGCACACAGGGGCAGTACTTAGGACTGCAGTGATGAAAAGGTGTAGCATTACCTGCTTTAAAGCACCTGCCAATTAATTAGCCCTATACTCTCCGTAGCAAATAAAGGTAAGCAATCAAATCCATTTGATCTCTCAGATTTAGACTGTGACTGAAAAGACCACGAAGCAAGACGGGAGAACTAATCTCTCATGATTCTCTGCAACTTTTTTGTTTAAATGAAACCTTAAACTGCCAAGTGATTCTCTTGAACTTTTGAAAGAATTAACTATGAAAGATCTTTGCATTTTATACTCTAATACCGTGTTTTAACATAGGCAAGGAACTGCATTGCGTTCTTAAATGCTAAGATGGGTCATGTCGTTTCAGCCCTAAAATTCATTAGACCTTACAGAAAAACCAGGAAAGGTAGCAAAAGTTAAGCTCTTAGATTTAATATAACTTTGTTTTACTATTGCTGATAATGAATGAGCATGTGTTCCACCAATGCATTTACATGCATGAACTATTCTGATTTGGGGATGAAAAAAAAGCATATGCTCATCTCGAACAGGACAGCAAAGTGCCAAACTGTTTCAAAAGGCTGTGGAAAGACAGCAGGGAACTTTCAGTAGATGATATTGCTAATTTGTGATGTTCCCAGACTTTGGCTATGGGCCCAATGCAAAACCCCAAAGAAGATGGATTAGATGAGCCACCTCTCAATCTTTCTTTCTTTTTCTCGGCAAGTTTTGAAAATATTTATTGCAAGCAATGAGTTGCCCATTTATGTTTTTAAGACCTCCTGTCAATACCCAAATGCTATAGATCAGTTTCATGTCACATTAATGATAAATGAAATGTGAGGCAGAATTTGCAAAGGGGAAAACACCTTCCTTGACTATGCCAATTTCTTTAGAAATCCCCGTCCTTGTAGTTGAAGTGATAAAAGGGAAGGGTAATGCATGTACATTTTATTAGCGTTTTAGAAACAAGGAGTAAAACTGTCAGATCTTTGTTTTTTTTCTTTCATGTGTGTCTGGGCAGGTCTAACCCTCAGGTAACGCCCTTTCTCCTTCTTCCCTCCTGCCTCTCCTTGCACCTGTCCACGTAATG